AAACGTTTCTGCATTTGAGCCCAGGAAACCCAGGGCCAGTTGATTCTGGTTTGGGTAATGGTAACATTGGAGAACACACTGTCTCACCCATTTCCTGTGCCAACATCACTCACGCTGATGTATCTCCTTTGTTGCCATGGCCACCATGGCTGGTCAATGAGCAGGGCAGGGAAGGAGAAGATGTTTGTGAGTCTCCATTGCTAGGTCTAAGTGCTCCATTACTGCCTCTCTGGGAAGAGGCACTTGACTGGAAGGAGAGTGAGCAGGCACTCGGTCAAGCCACAGCCACTTAGAGCGCCTGCAGTAGATGGGGACACAGGCTCTCCTTAGCTGGGGATGAGGGGGAGAAAAAGCATAGCTGGTGGGTCATCAGGGTACTCCTGCGAACATCCCCCAGATCATGAGCTCAAGGCTCAGTTCCAAGTCCCCCGGTGACCGCTTAGAGCAGCAGTTCTCAACCTGTGGGTCGCCACCCTTTCACAGGGGTCGCCTAAGACCATCCTGCATATCAGATATTTACATTACGATTCATAACAGTAGCAAAATCACAGTTATGAAATAGAAACAAAAATAATTTTATGGTTGGGGGTCACAACATGAGGAACTGTATTAAAGGGCCAGAAGGTCGAGAACCACTGGCTTAGAGGGAGGATGGAACGCCCTGCCTTGCGGACAGAGGGCTCTGTATTCCTAAGCCAGAATTCCATGAAGGGCTGGGTGACCCTTTTCTTGGAAAGCTAACCGATCTCCAGGTTCCCGACACACAAGAACTGCACAGCCTGTTACATCCGGGGAGACAGATGTGGACTGGTTCCGGGGCCCCTTGGGCATCCCTTTCCTCTCATTCCCTAAAGAGCCCAAGAAGCAGTGAAAGGATGCCAGCTTAGCTGAAGTGGGGATTTTTACACAAGTCCATGCCTGCTGGGCTCTTAGGAGCCTCCGGGAAGATGCCCTCAATAACCGGATTGAATTGGAAGAAGGGTGAAGTAGGCACAGGACCAACCACTGTGAAAAGCATGGACTGAAGAGAGGTGGTCAGACCTCTGTGCGGAGAATATAACCAGGCATAGGTCTCAGCCCCCCACTGCAGGTCTGACGTTGCACTGACGTGCAGGCACGGACACACTCCCCCCTCTGAAGGTGGGGACAGAGGAGCATAGAAAGCGACACTGCTACAGGACAACCTGGCCACTGTCCTACTTGTCCTTTCCTATGTAGGAATAGCGATAGCTTCATTTAAACAGATTGTCCCTTATCTTTGCTCTCTAAGTCGAGCACAGGCCTTTGGCAAAAAGCGATCAAATTCTGACCTGACCCTCAGTGGGCTGGGGAATACTCTCCTTACTATTTGGTTCATTCACTCACACCCCAGACCAGCACCCACAAATCTGTAACTCAATAATTAAAATCCACTCTACTCACCAGAGCAGTGGCCCGCTGCTCCAGGGCCCTGAATCCAATTCCTTTGGGGTGGGCCTTGCGGATGGAATCCACCCACCTCTCCTTTTTCCTACCTCTGCAATTAACATAGCCCCTCCTCTATTGCCTCACCAGCCATTTTAGAACCAGAAGGTCTTTGTCTATTCATAGACACTGTAAAAGTAACATTGGTCTTACGCTTTTTAATCTAATTTCAGTGTCTTCCATGATTCTCATTGGTTTATCTAATCAGCATGTCCTAGGGAGGTTTATTACGGGCCCCATTCGCTTGTCCAATCACCATGGAGCCAGCGAAGGCAATTCCCTGGATAGAAGGGGCTCCTCTAAAATAGACAGTTCTCAAGAAAAATGTCAGGCTGTTTGCCTCCTTGCTCCATGGGCCTGAACCTTCCAAGTCCCACCTCCACTCTAGCTCTTCCAACCCCAAATCCTGATTCTTCAGGGAATGATACAGACTAGGACAATCAAGAAGTCAGTTGTACAAACCAAACCCTGAAAGAAAAACATTATGGGTGGTTTTTCTAAGTTTTATGCAGATTTTGGCCTCATTTTTATTAATTCCTCTTCAGTGAGTAGGAAAGATCTGAGGAGGAGGAAGAAGTGGGCAATGGGACGTTTGGAGGGAGGCAAGAAGGAAGAGACAGTGAGTGGGAAGTAGGTGGGGGAGGTGGAGAGGAGCATTCTGGGAAGTCTCCCGCAGTGAGGCAAATCCAGGTGCCAGGTGCTGGGCGTGGTACTACACACGCCCTCCCTCATGTAACTCTCAACTGTCCTGTGAAAAGACAATTTCATCCCCAACCTTGCAGACATGAGGCTCAGAGAATAATACTTGTCCATGGGCTCCTAGACATACAGTGGGGCCTTGACTTACGAGTTTAATTCGTTCCGAGACCGAGCTCGTTAAGGAGCTCGTTAACTCAAATTACTCTATCAACTCAATGCAAAAAATCGGCGGAGAGACAGCTGGTATCTCAAAAAATTCGTTAGTCGGGTCACTCGTAAGTCAAAGCCCTACTGTATGAGAAAGAGCAGGGGCTGGAAGCTCCATTAAAAAATGAACTCTGCCTCCTTCTTCCTCAGGCCCTTCTGTGCATTCTGAGTGTCTTCAGACCCATATCTTGTGGTTTACTTTCCCTTCCAGGTAGGAAACTTATCTTCTGGTTTAAAGTCCTCACTTTCTTCCTAGATAAGGTAAAGTTTTCCCTCGGTGAAGAAGCCGCCCCCTTGGGCCTAGGGCAGTGGTCGGCAAACTGCGGCTTGCGAGCCACATGCGGCTTTTTGGCCCCTTGAGTGTGGCTCTTCCACAAAATACCACGTGCGGGCGCGCATGTACAGTGCGATTGAAACTTCGTGGCCCATGTGCAGAAGTCAGTATTTTGTGGAAGAGCCATACTCAAGGGGCCAAAGAGTTTCATGTGGCTCGAAAGCCGCAGTTTGCCGACCACTGGCTTGGGCCACCTATAGCAGACATGTGGAAAGCTGTGTTTCGGAGGCCATGGCTGAACTATCACAGTCACCCTAGATCCTAGTTTCTCTCATTAATCCATGGGATCAGACTGGCGAGACTAGGGGACCAACTCATCCCAGTTTCCCTGAGGCTGCCCTTTGCCCTTTCATTTTTTACGAAGGAGTATCAAGACGGGTTTTAAGTAATTTATCTTGGATTTTATTCACAGGGGCTTTGGAAAACAAAGTTTGATTTCACAACCTGGTAAGCAAGTTGTGTTTACTCCTCAAGTTCACGAAGTTCAGTCCCACCTTCGGTCCTTGCTCAATTGTTTGAGGTCCTGGCTGCCTGCCAGGATGACCAGTCCTGGCTGACCTTCCCCACTAAAGACAAAAGTGTCGCTTCTTGCAAAATAGGCCTGGCTTTCACTTTTCATGAAAACTTGACAAGCCATTAGTGCCGCTGAAGGGCCCAGCCACGGGTCTTTCTAAACCAGGTGGTGCCCTTGGCTGCCAAGTATGTAGGCGACCTCGAACTCCACAGGAGGGTCTGCCATAGCTCATCTCCCCTGTCCTATAGGAAGTGTCAAGATCTGATGGCCTAAGCATTGAGAGTGAAAACTCGTCGCTTCACTTCCCTGAGAAAGGCAAGGAACATGGGACCATTAGTAATCAGATAGTTTTCAAAGCACATTAAATCAGCTAAGCTAACTATTTCAACATAGGCCCATCGTTCCAATTGTTCTGACATTTTCCAGAAAGTTCTTTTTCATTGTTAGGAAATAAAAACCTAGAAATACCTGTATGCCAACCCATCAAGAGACCAACCTCTACCTCACCCAATATTGTACCTGCAGCCACCCCAGTTGTTTTGACCTTTCTACTTCAATGGCTGACGGCAACAATGGAATGCTAGACTTCACCCAGATGGTGACCTTGATGACCAGCTCCACTGGGACAGGTAGGAGTTAGCCCCTCCTGCAAGTTCCCAGGTGATGCTAATGCTGTTTGGTCAGGGGACTACACTTTGAGAATCACTGCTCTACATCTAACAATGCAGAGGAAATGCAAGAGGCAGAGGAACCTATTAACACCATGAGGATGCACTAAAACAAAATTCAGACTCTGAGGAACAGATCATTCCTTATAATTTATAAGGAAAAAAAAAAAGCAAGAAAGAAAAACCAGAGATTAAGGACTTAATAGGCACAGAGAGCACAGCCAAGATGGCAGAGCACAGCCTTGTCTTGCATGTGGAGCTGGATGCCCACATTTACCAGATGCTGCCGTGGCCTCCGGCAGCAGATACAGGCTGGAATTTGGCCCAATCTGCTTAGACTGGTCATGGCCAAGTCACTTTAATAGGCAAGAGTGCCTATGTCAACTCGAGTATGAACTATCACGTGAGCTCTTCGCTCAGGCACCGGTAGACTATCCTGGCGTTGCTGAGACAGTGACAGATTCTAGCTCAGTGATGGCGAACCTTTGACACACGTGTCAGAGGTGACACGCGAACTCATTTTTTTGGTTGATTTTTCTTTGTTAAATGGCATTTAAATATATAAAATAAATATCAAAAATATGTCTTTGTTTTACTATGGTTGCAAATATCAAAAAATTTCTATATGTGACACGGTACCAGAGTTAAGTTAGGGTTTTTCAAAATGCTGACACGCCGAGCTCAAAAGGTTCGCCATCACTGTTTAGCTAGCTTCTACTTTGTAATCTGGTTCCCGGATTGACACTAGGCATAGTGCTTTCATTGGCATTCCCTTCATACGTCAGGACAATGCCTTTGACTTTAATATCCTTTTGCAGAATCATTTCAAGTGAGTAAAACAGGTATCTGAGATGTCCAAAGGATCTGAAACCAAATATGGCTATGGAAAACCACTCCCTCAACTTCCTGTAGCACAGGATATACAAATTGCATGTGTTTAGCTATATTGTATTCAATTATTGTTGCACTTAGCTTAAAATAAGGATTGCTATTGTATTTAAAATCAATGAATGTTACTATTTGTGAAACTGAATATTTTGTGTGTGCTTATAAACATTACCTATAAATCAGCACTTGGGAAATTTTTACTTTCTTAACCTATTAATACCAGGAATTAAATATGAAAAATTTAATAGAAAAAAAATGACGCTTGGGGCACAAATCTTTGAGAGGTTGGAACCCCTCCGCCTCAGCGTTTATAAGTCCAGAATTTTGACAGGGATAGGAATGGAGAAAGTCGTCTTTCCTGGCCAGTGTTCTATACTCTTCTTCACCATATCCAGTGCTGAGTACAGCTCCATCACCCTCCCATGTGTCCATGTCTCTTCCTATGAAAAGAGGGTGTGTCAGTGGCTCCTCTTCCATTTTCTGCTGGCTAAAAAAGCGCAGCATCTTGCCAGACCAGTGTTGCTGAGTGGTTAGCATCGACCTATCAATCAGTTTTGATTCCCAGTCAGGGCACATGCCTGGGTTGTGGGCTTGATCCCCGGTAGAGGGCCATGCAGGAGGCAGCCGACCAATGATTCTCTCATTATTGATGTTTCTGTCTCCCTCTCCCTTCCTCTCTGAAATCAATAAAAATATTTTTTTATATATTCCTGTGGCACCTATTTGGAGGCTTTGTTGAAATCTAATCCCCAAGGTGATGGTACTTGAAGACGGGACCCATGGTAGGTAATTAAGTCATGAGTGTGGGGACCCGTGAATGGGATTAGTGCCCTCAGAAGAGGCAGAGAGCTAGTGGTTTCTTTCTGCTTTGTGAGGAAGTGAGAAGTCAGCTGCCTGTAACCAAAAAAGCACCCTCTCCAGAACCGGACCGTGCCGTGTTGACACCCTGATATCAGTCTTCCAGCCTCCAGAACCGTGAGAACTAAAATTTTGTTGCTAAGCCACATGGTTTACAGTATTTTGTTACGGCAGCCCAAGCTAGGACAGATGCTTACACTTTGAAAGAATGGAATCCTTGTAGTTTCAAAATACAGGGTGTCCCCCCAAAAATGTATACACACTTTAACAGCTGATAGTTCAATTCTGAAAATGAAAAGTATTTTAATAAACACTGCCTTTATAATTATTCAAAGTGTGTGTACACCTTGTTTTGGGGACACCCTATATTCTGTCCTTGACTTCCATCTTTTATCTCTTCCTAACTTCGGGTCCATTTTATTTTTTCATTGTACGCCCCCTCCAGCAGCTCTATTCTTGCCGTGCTATGGCAGGGCATCTTTAATAGAAAACACCAAGGAAAATATCTATTCTCACCAGTGACTAATTCCTGGACACTGTTCTCCGTCTTCTCCATGTTGTGTTCTTTGTATTCTCAGGATGATAATATAGAATATATTCGAAGTGCTGACACGCTGCAAATGAAGTTAAGACGTATACATCTAAAGCATATGTTATATTGGTGCAATAATGGTCATCTAAAATATGGGACTCAAGAGACAACTATTTGTAGTATATTGTCTTTCTCTTGAACTTTACCCAAATACACATACTGCAAAACAAACATATATGAGGCAATCAGGGAAATCTGGACACTGGTTGTAATGAATTATTTTTTGGGTAGTTGTCTTTTTATAAGAGTGTTATCTTTTAGTACCGTGGTCGGCAAACCGCGGCTCTCGAGCCACATGTGGCTCTTTGGCCCCTTGAGTGTGGCTCTTCCACAAAATACCACGTGCGGGCATGCATGTACAGTGCGATTGAAACTTCATGGCCCATGCGCAGAAGTCGGTATTTTGTGGAAGAGCCGGTATTTTGTGGAAGAGCCACACTCAAGGGGCCAAAGAGCAGCATGTGGCTCGCGAGCCACGGTTTGCCGAGCCGCAGTTTGCCGACCACTGTTTTAGCACTAAAATACTTCAGAATAAAATAAGATGTCCGAGATTTGCTTCAAAATAATTGGGGAGGGGGGGGGGTTGTGACTGAAAAGGAGTATAGATTTTAAAAAAAAGATCTGTCTTAAAATGATAAATATGGGCACAGGAAGATTCATAACACTCTACTTCCTTCATTTATATGTTCAAGTTTCCCATAATAAAAAGTAACAAAACCCAGGGTGACAGACATATTTATTCTGACTCCAGGTCTCACCCCAACTCCCCAGCTCTGGAGAGGAATGGAGGCCAACACCAGGCCCCCTCCCCTGAGCACCCCAGCGGTCGTGCTCTGTCCCTGGAGCAGCGCTGCCTGGTTCAGCTGGCATGTGGTAGGGATGGAGGAAGGCTGGGTGCATGACATGCTTCTCAACATGCACAGAGAGGGCAGTATAGAGCATGACGCCCCGGGAGGCAGGAGGGGCTGCTCGCTCTCACCCCGTGTCCCTGGGTGCCCCAATACTGAGCAGGAGCCAAGTCTCCTGTGCTGTGAGGCTTCCTTGGGTGGAACACCTGTGCTCCTGATTCACTTTACTCCCAGGCTGGGCTGGACGGAATTGGCCTGGGCCTAGCAGCTCCTAGGATTGGCTGCAGACTCCTGCTCCCCACAGTGGGAGCTTGACACCGGTACAGTAAAAATGGTCAAGCAGACCTAACCGGTTTGGCTCAGTGGATAGAGCATCGCCCTACAAACTGAAGGGTCCCAGGTTCGATTCCGGTCAAGGGCATGTACCTTGGCTGTGGGCACATCCCCAGTGTGGGGTGTGCAGGAGGCAGCTGATTGATGTTTCTCTCTCATCAATGTTTCTGACTCTCTATCCCTCTCCCTTCCTCTCTGTAAAAAATATATTAAAATAAAAATAAATTTTAAAAATCATCATTCTCCCCTTTAAAAAAAAAAAGAGAGAGAGACTGTGCCTTACCCAAACCATGCTGGCAACCACCACTAACACATCCTCAGCTCATTCCCCAAACTGTCTCTCTAATCCGGACTTCTCTACTGACTTCAGACCCAAAAGACGTGTCCACTTGGACATTCTCACAGGCACCTCAAACTCCTGTCCAAAATGTGTCCTCCTGGGTTTTGGATGCAGAGACGGAGGACCCCTGACGGAGCTCTCAGTCTGTGTGAGTGGGAGGCAGAGGGACTAACGTACAGAGAAAAGCGCTCGCTGGTACATAACCGTATCGTAGGAGCACGTACTGAACAAGCGAGCCGCCGCGCCCGGTGCGCGGGGCTCTAGGCTTGCCTGCGTGGACGCATTGGCCTTCCCCACAGCCTTGTAAGGCATCGTTACCCCCATTCTGCCGCTGAGAAAGCAGACCAGAGATCAGAAACAGGGCCAAGGTCACAAAGCAGCTACATCCACGCACACCTGGGGAAACGTTCATAGTCTTTGCTGACTTCAGATGAGCCCCTAACAGGCCACAGGGACTGGAGATTTCCTGAGGTGGCAATGCCCCCGCTGTCTTCATAGAGGAACAGGTCGGCTGAGGAATCGGTGGGATGGGCAGGGAAGTGGAGCGGAGGGAAGGAGCTGGTGGGCACTGTGGGCAGTAGGAGGCCTGAGAGAGCACAGGGGAGAGAAACTGCAGGGGTTTCCTACAGCCACCCCACAGAGCAACGTAGAGAAGCAGCCCCATGAGGCTGGACGAGACCCAAATCAGGGATGGCCTCACGTGCCATCTAGTGAATTTCCATTTTAAATTCTAGCTGGAAGCACCATTTGAGGACTTAAAGCAGGGAGTGGCATGGCCCATCTGCACTTTGAAAGGTGCCTCTGGCACCAATGAGAACTGGTTGAGGCAAGGGAGGTAAAGTGACCAGTTGACAGACTGCTGAAGTGCCCAGAGAAAGAAACTGTACACAAAGTTAGCAGTGGAGGGTTGGAAAAAAGTGAGCAGATGTAAGATAGTAATGAAGGAAAAACTGAACAGGACTGAGTAACTGAATTAGCTAAGGAGAGCGAAGAAGGCGTCAGAAATCCAGGTTTGTGGCTCATCACATCCAGGACATGGAAGATGATTTCTGGTTTAGACATGGTGAGTGAGTCTGGCATTCGGAAGAGCAGCCGTGAGCCCGAGGCAAAAGGAAGGGACAAGCCCTGTATTCTTCTCAACCAGCCACCGGGAGTTGCCCAGTCTTGACCTCAGCACCTTAACCACCAACCAGAAGGCAGGTCAGTAGCGCGGGTGAAGAGGACAGGAACACAATCCAACACCGAAGGAAGGACAGTGTGGCTGCAGTGTCCTCGGCCTTACAGGAGCCTGGTTAGGAGAGGTGAGGTAAAGACTGGTATGAGACACAGCAACCCTTCTCAATCGGTTCTGTGAGAATTAAGCCCTAGCGCCTACAGTGTCCCTCGTGCGGAACCGATTCTATCCTGTGCATCTAGAATGGTTTTAGCTACGAGTCACCCTTGAGAGTACTGAGGAAAGTCACCGGATCGTTTTCTCTTGGAAGTCCAGGTGAGAAAGGCTAAGGTGCGGCACAGGTACCAGACACCAGAGGGTGTCTGCCCTCCCCAGATGGGGCTCGACTGGAAATGTGCCCAGCACATGGGCACCAGGCTCCACCTCGGAGCCTCCTCGTCCTGCCGGCTTCCCTCCTGCCCGGGAGGAAGCACACAGCAGAGGGCCTGGCCTAGCTGGAGATGCTCCTAAGTGCTAAGGGGCTCTTCCTCCAACTGGATCGGAGACCGCGGGCGGAGAATAAGAGAACTAGACTAAACTGGTGCTAAGCTCTAAAATGCTGGGGTCCTGGCCCAAGGGCCTCAAATCTAAGTGATTTCAGCAGGTCTGGGTCAGGGCCCAGAAATGTGTAAATTAGTTAAAGAAACGCCCCAGACACTAATTTGTAGAGGGACTTTGCAACTTCTATCCCTTCTTCCCAGTCTGCTACTTGGGTCTTCCCTCACTTGGTCCATGTTCCCTCGGAGGGGCCCCAGGTCTCATGGGCAGACGCGGCCAGTGCCTCAGAACGCTGGCGGGGGTGTGCCCACATCGTTAGCCCGGCTCCAACACTGGCCGGAAGAGCAGTGGAAGGCCCAGGAAGCAGGGGCTGCGCACCCGCACCCTCCTCGCTCCACAAATGAAGCAGGTGCTGAGCCTGGGTCTAGCCCTTTCTCGCTGCTCAGAGTAAGACACTGCATGTGACTCTGAGGGACACAGCATCCACTGGTCCCACAGAGGGGCCGCAAACACGGCACAGCATCCCTTTTCCTCCATCCTGCTCTGAGCCGAATGGCCCAGGACCCACTGCCAACACCACACGGAAAGCACTGAAGCAGAAGTTGCTTTAATCAAGGGGTGAAGTCCTCAATCGGGGGACCTCACACAACCTTTGGTGGTGGGGTCTCAGCCTGTCCCCCACATGCCCTGATGCCCCTCAGGAAGGAGGGAGCACCTGGTGGAGGCCAGGGGCTGGAAATCGGGAACCCAGGTCAAGGGGAGGACAGGGCATTGGTAGGTGGAGTGAAGCTGAGTGGGGTCCAGAACAGCTTTACACACGCTTCTACCTGGGCCGGCTGAGGTGGCCGTGCATCGGCCGGAAGGGGCCAGCGGGAGGAGAAGCACTAGAAGATGAGGCGGCCGTGCAGCTGGTGCAGCTGCTCCTGGGTCAGCACCAGCCGGTGTCGCTGTCCGAGGCCAGCCGCACACGAGAAGGTCACTTTGCCCAGGTAGACAGTGTCATCCTGCTGCTCCTCCTTGGCCTGGGAGTAGGTGAGAAGAGACCCCCTCGTCAGGGTCTACTGAGCTGTGCGCCACGGACGGGCCCTGAGCCTAGAGACCTAGGTAGTCCCTGGGAGGTAGGTTTTGGGGCTCCTGGGCTATGGTGATTACATTTCCAAATAAAAACTGGGGCACACAGTCTGACAGGGATTTGAGAGCTCTTCCCGGTGTCAAAAGGCAGAGAAGTTGTTAAACTACTGAACAGTGCACCTGCTGGAAGCCGGGCAAGGACTCCCCGGTGGAAACCTGGCCAGTAACTCAGATGTGCAGCTGTTGGACCTGAGACCCCAGAGGCCTCTTCAAATTCGGGGGAGAGGGAAGGACCCACCTGAGCCTCCGTACTGCCCCTCCCCATCCCCATGCCCCCGCTTACCCTGAGGAAGGCTGAGGAAGGGAAGGTGGCAAAGGCCGTGGGGACTGTGGCTCCAGGGCGCTGCGACACAGTCTCCTTGAGGACCTCATCCTGACGGCAGAGGGGGGAACAAGGGTTCATTTAGGAGATCCCCACAGGCTAGCCCAGTACCTCCCATTTCACAGGGACACTAATGCCAGGAACAGGGACCCAGACCTTCCTATCACTTCTGCTCTCACCTCCGCCCCATATACTTACCCTTAAGGCCCAACCCTTCTACCCTGACAGAGCTGCACCTGACAGAGCTGCACCTGAACCCACCCTCTAAAGATGACCCTGCTCAACCCACTATGCTGATGAGAATCTGCCTTCCCTTCCACCTCCCCTGCCACGTGCCA